TTCCATGGCATTGAGAAACACCCCAGGGTCTCAGGAGGTTAAAATACATTTGGCAAATTTAGTTGCTAGCTTTATCATTCCATTTTTTGCTCTGATCCAATAATTTCCTATTTCCTATCTCTACTTGCAGGAGTGGGAGTAGCACAAGTAAATAATTAAGGCTGCATTTTTTTAGAAGAGGTTCTGCTAATTGTCAAGAAAAAAACAGCATGCACAACTGTAGGAATGGAATACAGCCCTCGTTAATACACCAATGACTTTCCTTCTCTTACAATTAGTCTCCACAGATTTTTCCTTTTTACAAAACAGATTTGTTTCCATTATTGCTGATCTAAATCCATATTTGTGAGCATGTCAGCAGTATTTGCCTAAAACAACAGTTTAGTGAGTAGGATAATAATAGATGAAGGAGCCCGTGACCGTTTCCTGGATCGTAATTTTACTGGCTGGTATTACCGGGGTTCAAAAACACAGATCTGTTACACTGACAGGTTTGTTGGGACAGAAAAGTTTAACAGACTGTCTGTCAGAACTTGTTGGCTTTAGGGTTTCGGTTTGATTTATTTGTAACTTCCAAAAGCTGGAGCTAGATTAAAAAAAAACGGATCTGTTAAATTTATTATTGTTTGGCTGATCACAGCTGCCAGTGATATTTTGAAATAAAAAAATAGTTTCGGTATGTAGATTTAAATTAAATTTCATCATGTAAGGACATGCAAGACCTGCCTTGGGGTTTTCTCTTTAAGGTCTCATTTACTCATTTTTTTGTTTTGTTTTTCTTAAGAAATCTGCTGTGGTGACTAGTATGAATAAAAGTTTTATCACTTGTTTTCTGTGCGGGAAAAAAGCTGTTGCTCACGTTTCAGGAAGTAGGAGTTTGTCAGAGTAATGTGGGGTGGAAAACTGCAAGAATTGGAATCTTCCTCATCAATTTTCATGAATGCGAAAGACTCTCCTCTGGTTGGTTAATGGCAGTGTGGCTTAAGCCGGGCATACACCAACGACCTTTTCAATGTTTTTGAGCCGACTTTGCCCTCGTGCGAGAATTTACAAAATCAGGGCGAGTTTTGCGCTGAGCGTCGTGGATACAGGGCGTTACGAGAAGCGATTAACACCACGTGACCAGCTACTGATTAGCAATTGTAAGCTCGCACGAATTTCTGGCGTGTCTGACATTTTGCTCATCCCTTGTGAGGACACTGTTGAAACAGCGCAGCGGGCGGCTGCGAAAAAAAAAAAAAGCAGAACCGCTCACGGCGCATGCGCGAATTAAGGTTGCAGGGATTAACCAGTTTGACTATTAACCGCAATGTACCCCCCGTAGAAACATCTCTAATGCGGTCAATAAAAAAACAGACTAGCGTGACCCGCACAGACAAAAACAAAAGTGAAAACATTTCCACCTAGGAAGAGGTTGAAGTCTCCTGTGTGGAATATATCTAATATAGCTGAAATATTCCCACACAGGAGACTCAGAGCAGTCCTGATGGTCATCACTGGTTCGGCTGCGTGCGTGCGTTCAGTTTCACTTTTTGTCCGAGTGGAAAAAGTTGCACAGTGTCCGCCCGGCTTTGTCTGCTGTCTTTGTTCGCTCTTCCGTCTTGGGTAAAATTGCAACATAGATGTTTTCTCTCAATACATAAAACTCTACATGTTGTGGAGTTGCTAATGCTGTTAGCTTCTAATAGCCGAGACACGCTCTCCTGTCTCCTGGCCGCAAAATAAACATCCTTCCATGGTCACAAACTTAAGCTTGGTTTATGCTTGACGCATTCACTTTCCGCTCGGTGATGCGGCTCGCGGATGGAACGCGCTTCACAACTTGCAGCGTTTATGGTTCATGCGGCTTGTCTCTGCGGTGAGCCAATATACTCCCAAACTGTAGGGGGCAGCATGGAGCTCTACAGCATGCATCCAACACTACACCATAGTAGAAGTAAAAATTACTGTTGTTTACAACATGGCATTCCAGCATTTTTTAACAGCGTCCTCGTCTTTTCCAACAGTGCGAGCTATTTCTCTCCAAGAATTATTAACAACATGTTTATCACGGTGATCTCTGAGAGCTGAATCATACAAATGTCTGTATTTACGAACTCTGCCATAACTAGTTCTTGCCAGTCCGCCATGTTTTTCCGTATTAGACTGTCCGCATGGTTAGAAAATTTCCTAGGTAAGCTGTGCAGAAAGTTTGGGCCGTGCATAGGCCAGGTGGAGGGGCGTGGTTGTTAAAATGACACAACTTTGCCGCACGGAGCCGTGCGAACCTCGTGGACGCGTCGAGCATAAACCAACCTTAAGATGGGTGGTGCCCAAAAGGGTGATATTTCCCTGTGATGTAGAACAGTGGTTCCTAACCTGGGGGTCCCGACCCCCACAAGGGGGTGCCAAAGCCTCTCAGTGGGTCGCCAGGACCTCTCCACTTTAAGGGGTTAAAACTTCATTTATTACTTGTTTATAGCCTACATTTTGCTCACATTTTTTTTCATGAGTGAAAAGTTTACTGATATTAAGACAGGAAATAATTAGTACAGAAAGAGTAACACTTTTAAGAACATTTTGCTCAGCTCACTGTTTTATTCTCAAGTGTCAAAAGTTCATTAAAGATAGGACTGGTTGATTAATCACAGCCTTTACAGTAAATAATCTAGTATAAACAGTAATATACACATTTAAGCACATTTTGCTCAGTGTATTCTTTATGTGTCAAACGTTTATTGAAAGGAATGATTGATATCAGTGTTTACAAGAAACAATGTGTTCAGAAAAGTAATACAAACTGTCAAGCACATTATGCTCTGTTTGGTTTTGTTGATGACTTTGTTCTGTACTGGAGCCTACTATTACTGTTATCTATTGAATCAAAGCATATTAAAATGTGCTTGAATAATTTTATCATTTCTTATTACTGTTTGTACTGGAAGAGAGAATGGGAGGGGGTCGTCAAAAATTTTACTGGTAAAAAAGGGGTCCCTTGGGAAAAAGGTTGGGAACACAGATGTAGAAGACGCTGTTTTTTTTCTGTCTCAATCTATTTTCTGTCTGCAGCTAATGCAGGCGATAGGGGTTGAAGAACATTTCCACGTTCAGCATGCATGTAAAACTCTGAGTGACTCATTGCATTTAAAAAGAAAAATAGAAAAGTATCGCATGTCTTCACAGTAAGCAAGACCTTTTTATGTGATCCAGTTTCATGGTTTTGAAATTCCAGCTACACATGTGATTAGGACTGAGCCTTCGCTGTTATCTTTGGGTTTTGGGAGTGCATTAGGGTAATGACAGGTTGCAACGAGGATGGAAAAACAAGTGTATGGGTGGCTGTGTTGGGCGGTGCGCTCTTTTAAACGTAACGAGATAACGAGCTGAAGAGGGGAAAACAATGGATAAAGATGGGATTAGTGTGACAGAATACAGTCTCTATGATAAGTTGAGCGGTTCAGCTGCTTGAGACGACAAGATAACGAGGTGGAAATGTATATTACCACACAGTTTGTGTTGCGTTTATCATGTTCTCATAATCAGGCCGTGTTAAATGTGAAAACTTGATCTCTTTCTATGATTTTAACTGTGTGATATCTTGTTTATGGTTTTATTTAATGTGTTGGGAAAGACAACTAACCTATTAATTTTTGGCTATTTCACTAAGTGGTTCCCAATCTGGGGTCCGTGACTCCCCCGAAGGCAGCCCCTACAAGGTTGCAGGGGTCCCCACAATTTTTTCTGTGCTTTGGTTGTGAAGTTATACCAAATACCCCAATAACACACCCAATAATATAATTCAAACTTGTTCAAATTTATAACGCTGTATGCTTGTCTATAGTAGTCACTTTTAATGTAGAAGTGTGGGTAGTAGTTGGGGTCCTCGGCTTGTGTTGGATCCAGGAGAGGGGGTCCTTAAGGTTGGGAACTGGTGGTTTAGCTGACTCCCCTGCTCACTCATCCTTTGATTTTCATGCTTATTGGGCTGTTTTTCCAATTTCAAAATAAATTGTTGGCACTCCCTAAAGCGTATAAGAGATAATAATTGTTTAGGCAGAAGAACCTGGGACTCGCCTAGTGGGACATGTTCAGATGTGACCAGCTCTTTTTCTCTAAGTCCTGATTGTTGAAACAATTTCAGCTCTGAAAAGCTCAAACAATAACAAAGAGGAGAGAATAAGGAAAACATTCTGATTCTTAAAGATGCATGCACTCAAAATACATCCATCATCAGTTATGTGATGCATGTCTGATTGGTTTCAAGTTTTTCGTGTGTGTGTGTGTGTGTGTGTGTGTGTGTGTGTGTGTGTGTGTGTGTGTGTGTGTGTGTGTGTGTGTGTGTGTGTGTGTGTGTGTGTGTGTGTGTGTGTGTGTGTGTGTGTGTGTGTGTGTGTGTGTGTGTGTGTGTGTGTGTGTGTGTGTGTGTGTGTGTGTGTGTGTGTGTGTGTGTGTGTGTGTGTGTGTGTGTGTGTGTGTGTGTGTGTGTGTGTGTGTGTGTGTGTGTGTGTGTGTGTGTGTGTGTGTGTGTGTGTGTGTGTGTGTGTGTGTGTGTGTGGCAGAGCCAGTGCAGACTTGAACATCACACACTTCTCCTTCGTTATTGCCTTTCCTGCATAGCTCCACTCATTGCACAAATATTTAGTGTCTATTTACGTTCGGCACAAACGTCCAACTGCAGCACATGTGACCTGCCTGCCTTAATTTGAACCACTGTTTTCATTACATAAAATATGACACCTGGATGAGCAAATGATTATACAGCTTTTGCCCTACATTGTTTTGGGATTACCTCCTTTCCATTGCAGTTGCAAAATTTGTCTACTGATTTGTCGGGAAATGGTGCAAGGGTTAGGGTAACCCTAATCCTAGCCCTAACCCTTTGACAGTTAAAATTGCGCCCACATTTTCTAAGTTAAACATCTCTTAACAACGGTAGTTTCTGCATCCTGCTTCCCCCCCCCCCCCCCCCCCCCCGCGCAGCGGCCGCAAACTCACTGATGTGCCTGCAGCCTCTCAGAGTTCCTGTTGCTCTAAACATTAAAATGATTATTTCATTTTCTGTTCCTCACTTCTGATTACCTTTAATAGTGACTGTTTGTTGCAACCACCAGGTACAAAAACTAACTTGTTTTTATTTGACTATTTTTCTGTCTTTTCTGTTTATTATCTTCCTGCATCTCCTCTCAATCCTAAAGAAAAACTGCTACCTGGGTTCATATATATTCACCTTATGAGTTACCTTTGAACTGCAGTTCTAAAAGATCTATCGACCGCAAAAACAGCGGAGTGCGCGCCGGCCGCATCACCGGAGGACAAAACAGGTGATGCGCCCCGCTCCACAGCAGCAAAACGTATCAGACACAAATAAAAGACAGAAAACATAAAAGGAAATGAGCCGACATGAACGATCTTGTTTTAAATTAGTTTTTGAGGTGGCGACAACTAATTTGATAATGTTACTGTTCAGGACGCAGATGTCTGGAGTGCATCAACAATCAGAGCTTTGCATGCACACGCTGGTTAAGGTTAGGATGGGGGTGAGGGGAAGGTTAAATTGCAAGAGGGTAAACGTCACAATTTGGTTAAATGTCCGTTTTACAGCGGGCGTCAGATACCGACGCGCAGGGGCTCGTCACCTGCTCTCTTTTCCGAGGACTGCATCTTGTCGGTCATTATCACGTGACAGCGACTAGTCTATGACAGGCATAACAAGTCACTACAGAGCAGTGAAGTCGACTAGTTCAAACAAACCCCTATCGTTTCGTCTCCCCTGTGTTAAAAACATTGTATCTTATTATGATATTGTATCACCAGATTCTTGTCTATACCCCTAGAAAGGACCCAATGACATGAATGTCACTAACTGAAGTATACAATAATCTTTATTATCAGAACAACATCATAGCAACACAGTCAGTACAGTATTTTACTCTTTGCAACAAATAAAGCAAATGCATATTAGTAGTCCTTTATTTGTTTGTTTCAAAACCCCTGATAGGGTCCCAGCCTAAACTTGTGGAACTACAGTAGTAGTCAAATGGCAAAAGCCACGATTAAAAACAAATGCTTTTCAAATAGCATTAATGTCTCAACATGTTATCAAGTTCAGCATCCATTTAAATCTGGTGTTGAATCAAGGAAGACGTACAAGACAATGGATGAACAGTATTGGGAAATGGAGGTTTGTGCGTCTTTCATCAGTGATCATCATGGCCTTCTAGAGGTTTCATATTCTCAGCAGGTTCCAAGATAACACCTATAGTCTACAGATGACATTAGAACAAGGAATTAGTAGGAATATTCAGTACATAATTCTACATGTGACACGATTGGTTCACTGAAGACACAAATCAGCAATGGTGAATCCCTTAAGTTCAACTGAATAAAATTGCAATATTGGTATTATCAAATGTCGCAGTATTTATATCTGTTGTGATGAACCCACATTTTTCTGAGTCCTCTTTCTCCTTTTATACAATGATGCTGTCACGCTCCACAACTTTCAGCATATCAGCTATTCTTGAATCTAACCTTGTAGTCGACCATGTTTAGCAATCTGAGCAGTTCTTTGCGATTTTGGTCTTACGCCAGTTGGGATGTCGTGATAATGGATTATCCCGCAATCATCTCATCCAGCAGTCTAATCTAGATCTGACAAACGCAAGGAATGCATGAATAAATTCGAATTTGAGAGAAGAAAAATCCGTATTACTGTTTTTTTTTAATCTAAAATATAAAGTTTATCTTTTTTAGGTTTTTCTAGTAAAAAGTGAATTTACCACTGAGCAGATTGGTCTTAATTTTGTGTTCTGTGAACCAAGTTCTAATCCTCATGATCACGGAGCGGTTTTGTTTTAGTGCTGGCATATGGGTTTGAGTTGTGATAAAGAGCAAGGTAATGTGTGGTTCGTCCTTTTATCTAGCTAGAGGCAGGTGTGTGTGCACGTTTTTTTGTTGACTAGACTGCGTCTTGTGGATCAAGTTCTTTTTGACCTATTCTTGACCCCCACATAGCAGGACCTCCCTGATCGTTTACCGACGGCCCCCCTCCTGGGCTGCTTCCTGGTTTCAGTTGTCTGTTTACACACATTCAGACTCACAGGCTTCTTCATGCTTTAACTGGGTTGTAGAAGTGAAGTCGATTTCCACCAACATTTTCAGAAACTGAATTTCTAGCTTCCCTCTGTCTGGACTCCATTCAGCCGTTTCACACTTAAGAAATAAATTATTATTCCGTTTTCACATGTCTGCAGACAGGGCGAAGCAGTAAAGGAAGTTTGTCTCATCCGTGCAGCAATGATTGTTTTAACATTGATCCATGTCCGTGATGCAGCAGCTGGTGAAATGAGGGAAGAAGTGTTAGCTCTGAAAGGTTTTTAGAGTTAACACACTGGCTGCTAACAGTGACTTAGCCACATGTGTGGTCATGCTGAACTGTTCTTTTTTTCTTCAAAAGAGCATGTAATGGGGGGAAAGAAGAATAACAAAAGCCCATTTTTGAGGCTACATGCTTCCCATGTGTTTTGCCCTTGTTCTGCCATCAATACTTTTTGAAAACATCCCAAGATGCACGTGAATCCTTAACCCAACTTTTCACCGCATGCATAAGTGACTCGTAATGTAATATACGGTACACATTTTCCTCATGACCCTAGCAGTGCTTCCGTTCTCCACCAGGAGCATATCTACTGTGCATTGGCAGTGAACTCTGCTCATGCAAACACACAAAGTCACCAGAGAATTGCAGGACTGAGTGTGATTTACCCAGATCAGGTGATAAATTTAGATTTTTTTTTAATGGTCAAGCAAAAAGAAATCTGAAATCTTTATTATCAAAATTGTCGGATGCTTTTTATTACTCCTATTTGTTGTTTCCTGTCTGTTCCTATCTGAAGTAATGAGCTTGACGTGATCGTAGAAATAAAATAAAGGCCGGAAACATAAATTTGTAACTTTACATTGACGTGCCGCTCCACGTCTGGTGGAAACGCACCAGCCATAACGACAGCTATTAGTTGCGTATTACTCTTCGCTGACATTATGCATCAATCACGCATACGATGGAAAGCCGTGGTTGGAGAGGAAATGTGCGTCATGTAGAATGCATGGCAGAGTTAAGAATGCTTCATGCAAAATGCAATGAGTAAAAATATTTGCAGTGCTTTTATGTTAATATTGTTTTTGTTTAAACAGGAATTTGGTCAATTAAACAGCTCTACGTTTACTTAAAGTTGCGTTTTTTTTGTTTTTTTTTTTTTTTTACTGCAGAAATATGAGTAGGTCGGTTCTGTTGCAACTCCAAACTGAGGTAGTTATTTAGTGAGACAATAGTTGTCACTTCCTCTCTGAACTATACCTTTGGGCTGAAATTGGGAACAAAATCTTGAAGTAGCAACACAAAAATGTGATTTCTATCGTTCTCTATCAAGTCTTCAAATACTTGGTCTAAGCAAAACTGTGAAATCACTAAAACCCACCATCCTTAGAGCAGCCATCCCTCCCTCTTTATCCTCATCCTTAGCTTCCTCTCATCCCTGTTCTGCGGTCCGTCGCTCCGTTGGCCAATGGAAGACATCGCTGCTCATGTTGGCCGCGTGGAGTGAGAGGAAAAGATGCTCATGGCCTTTCCTCTGCTGACAGCAGCTCTTTACAAGGCTGAGTATGTTTTCAAGGAGAGCTTTAGGGTGAGTGAGTGTGTGTGAGACTCAGACATGGGTGTGCGCAACTGCTCTGCATTGTGGTATAATCCTAATGTTGGCATTCCAGTGGCTAGTCCATGGACACGACCACTAAGAAGAATGAGATGCCACAAATACTTTGTTTTTGCCACTTGAAAAACTTAAGTCCTGACAAACATGTGAGCAAATGTTGTACTTGACCTCGGTGTTGTCACACTTTCCAATGATGATGAGTGTGTTTGTTTTGGAGGCTAAAATCTGTCTGGACAAAACAGCGGGGGTCAAACGAGACTGCATTTCCAACCACTGCTGCATCAGCATTTGGCACACGTCTGCGATGCAACCTGTCTACAGCGTGATTCACCGTTTCTGACTGGCTGCTAATCACAGAGGAGCGTTCGAGCATATCGTCATGTAGGTTCAAGGTTAGATGTGCGCATGAAAAGTGGACAATTTGGAGCCATGCAAATTTTCACACACACCCTGTCGTTTTGGAGGAACTGGTGGTTTAGGGCACTGGAGCAGAGACGCTTCCTGATCAGCTTCAGAACTGAATCCTCCCCCTCTACAAGAGTCTGCATCATCCTGTAAGTGGTGTGGAGAACCACAGATTAGTCCATTAGTCCCCCCCCCCCCCCCCCCCCACGCACACTCCTGCTGCGTGTGTAGATGTCTTCTCTTTCTGCAGGAATAAGCTAGTGTGTGATTTACATGTGTGCACTCATGCACGCCTACAGCACTCTGTCTGACGTCCTGGAGTGGCCCTGAGAAAAGAAATCCTCCATTTGCCAGAGATTTGCTCTCACTGACTGAACGACTGATGCCCAGTTCTTCTCTAAATCCGACCCGTGTGTCTGTGTGTGCATGTGTGTTGATAGCATTAGCCGCTAACCTCGTCTGCACTCCGGCAGGCTTCTTTCTCTCTTTTCTTAATCTGTACGCCCTGACTTTGGCTCAAAGCCGCTGCACTTTGACCTGCACTCCTCCCACACGCAGTCCATCATTACACACTCCCATCACTAATGAAGGTGCAACCTGAAACCCCTTCGCACCAGTTAGGCTTTATTATTAGCTTGAAGGAAATGGAGTAAACAGCTAGGTATTAAAGGTCACAACTCTCGATTGCAGGTGTAAACAACAGTGTTTACAAAATACAATAATACACCAGCCTCCTGACAAAGTAACGACCTGTTTTTAGCTAGGTTTAATGCTTTATTTACAAATAAACACACTTGATTGCCTCATATTAGGGGAAATCCCAGATTTAATGTTTTCTGTTTACTTAATTTCTTCAACTTTTTATTACCTTCGTTATCGCCACCCTAATATTAAAAGTATTATGTCTCAATTATAACGGTCTGTAAAAAAACAAATGCAAAAGTTTTATTTGCTTTTTATTGTTGTGGACATTTGTCACATTTTCAGACGCACAAAAATATTTCTTCATCCCAACAGATAAAAAATTTTCTAACAAATTTAATGGCTCTTAAATTATGTCTTTAGGAAGAGGTTTAATGTTTTGATGCAAGTGTAGCGACATGAATGGCCTCATCTGTGACCCAAAGGTCACACTACCCCAGCTGGGTCACGCTGTCCTGGCTGAACTTCTATCCACAGATTATCCATCACAGGGGACATAAAGTCTGCTAAACCATCTCCATTCCGCAGCGCTCCTCCGTGAGGGTGGGGGTTCCGCTGCTGTTTCTCACCAGTATCAGCTGATGGAGGGCTCTGGTTTTGTTGCACCGTTCGTGTCAGCGGACACGGTAGGGTCGGGGAGGGGAGCGGGGCATGACGCTTAGCCTGGCGGGCCGCCAGGCTTCTAGAGCGCTCGGGGAAAACCTGTGAAATTTTCACATTACATCATTATTGACATAGAGTTCTCTGGTTATCATCAGCGCCGTCACGAGTACCTAGCCCCATCATCTCTAATACAGCTGGGATCACTTTTAACAGGAAAATCCTAATAATTCTGCCCAATAACCATGTAATAGATGCATATGTTTCTTTGAAGATCACAGAAATCTACTAAAGCCGGGCGTACACTGTGTGACTTTTTCACCTTTTTGAGCCGATTTTCCAGTCGTGCGAGAATCCACGAGATCGGGGCGAGTTTTGCGCCGAGCGTCGTGTAGTGTACAGGGGGTTACGAGAGGCGATTAACACCACGTGACCAGCTACCGATCAGCAATCGTGAGCTTGCACGGACTTCTGGCGTGTTTAATATTTTGCTCGTCCCTCGTGAGGGTATCGCACTGTTGAAGCAGCGCTGCGAGCAGCTGCGACCCAAAAAGTACCAGAACTGCTCACGGCGCATGCGCAATCCTGCATCAACACCGCTCCCCGCTATTTCCCTAATAACACACGTTGTTCGTTTTTGTTTCTACACGTTTTTTACTCACAAGGATTGTCAAGAAAGTGTGTTTGTCGTGTTCATGTCAAATTAAACTGATCACAAAACACAGATTTACTTTCTTTATTTCGTTTCCTCATCCAACCCCCATAAATCCCTGTGTGTCCTCCTGCAGCACTCCCGAAGGACAACAGGCAAAACAAGACAAAAAAGTCTGACGTGTTGAGTAAAAACTGCTATTTTTAGCATATTTTTAGGGCCGACGTGTTATACCAGACGTACAGTGTGAGCAGTCAGATCGCATCCGAGAACTGGGTCGTGCAGTGTGAGCGCATGACTCGTGAGATCTGCCCTGCGAGGAAGTCGTACAGTTTGAGCTGAAGCTGAGTGCTACGAGTGGAAAAGTCGCACAGTGTACGCCTGGCTTAAGGTCTTGATTTATCTTTTACTAGTCGTTGGCTTGTCAATCAGTGTAGATGCCAAACGTGCTAGAAGTGCCAAATCTTGTGGACTATGCCGGCAGATGATGTCACACTACAATATCACTAGGTCAAACTACATTGTGCCTCAGTTTTTTACTCCGTTTTCTATGAAGAGCTGCAACATGCGAAAACTACAACCCTGAGGAGATCTGGCCGAGCACATTTCGTGCCAACGTAACATTTTTTGCAACTTTTTTGAACCAACCAAAACATTAATCGTTAATATGTCAACTTGCTCAGACCAACCCAATTCTTACACGTTAATTTGTTTGGACCAATTAAAAATGTCAACCTTAAGAGGCCAACAGAAGTTCTGTAATTTGTTCATAATAACCAAACATCTTTCACATTAAATTGCCAACATCCAGCCAATCATGTGATGTCACCAAGCACATATGAAACCCACATTAGTCAGAACTAATCTGAGATTGTCCAAGGAGCTTTCTATAACCCATAAAATGTTAAAGCAGGAATCCAGAGGTTTATTTTTTTTTATCTGACAGTACCATCTAGAGCAAGCGGCCCAGGGCCACAGTAAAATATTCCTACGATGTTTAGGGCCGGCGGAGTGGGGTGCTTTTGCGATAGGTGACTGAATCAGTGACGTTACCGTTAAGATGTTATCATATTTTAACAGTTGGAAAGTTCTGACCGAGTGATCTGTGGCTTGCAATGTGCTGGTGGTCTGGGGACACAAAGAGGGGGCTTGCCTATTGAGTACCACTGATCTAGAAGCTGAAAGTGTTTTTCACCTTAAGCCCTTCTCCCAAATCCCGTATTTACGGCCAAAGGCAATGCACCTCTAGCTGGCCAACAGAGCGAAAACATTGTTTTACAATTACTCTCACTTCATCTGTTTGTTCAAATATATTAAAGACTTACTTCTTCACAGAGGTTGCCAACTCTTTCAGCCTTCTAAATAAATCATAATTCCTAAAAGGGGGAAACTTCAGATTGTAGTTGTAATTCATCATAACCTTTCACAGAATTCAAGTTTAAGTGTCATATTGAGTCCAAAATGTAATTTATTTATTTATTTTTTTGGTCATATTTTAGCCTTTAAAATTTATACTGGATGCCAAAATTTTACAAGTTCATTCAAAATCACACATTTCTAGTAACTTGCTTGACCTTTTTTTAAGACATTTGACCTGAAAGGTACCTTTTTTTGTTATCTCTAGAGGAGTTGGGGGTGAGGGGGTCACGTGTTGGTCACTGACCCATGCAGCCATTAAATGTCTGTCAGCAGGGTCTAATTTTTCATGGTGTGAGTGGATGTTTAACGTCAGAAAGAGGGATTTTTAGACAGACTTACCAATGCCAAATAGTTCATTTTTTGCCTCTTAGCATTGATCCCAGTGGTATGAATTTAGTAGTCAGTCCTCAGGGATTTGTGGGAAACCGTTCTCGAGTGACCCAACATGTTGATGAGACGGGAGCCAAGAAAACAAACCCAGTAGGTGCATGAGCATTTTTGAGCTATTTTTGATTCTTGTATGAAATGTCCCAGTCAACAACCATCCTGCTAGGCTTCAAGCTATGCATTATTTGTCCCAGAGGACGGTACCCCCACCCACCATCTGGAGCATCTATAGGCTGATTTGCGGAGCGATGGCTCTCAACAATTCAAACTGCTAAAGATGTTAGTTTAGTTGCTTGACCAGTAGAATTTTCTTAAATGCACTGATGCATAAAATAAGAGATAAAACATTGAATGAGATGCATTTGTACTCTTGTTGTTGCATTTGTGTTTTCTGCACTAATTCATAGTAACACTGTCCTCATCACCTTGCAGATGGCTCTTTGTAAACGTTGCCAAAGTATTTGGTTCTCGTCTTTAGAAGTCAAACTGTACACGCCAAGCAAATAATATGTAGCCTTTGGGGAAAGCGTGTCGCGTCTCCATGGTTACCATACCAGAAGGAGCCATCGCTATGACAGCAGGTTGGCAGCGAGGCAGCTGATCTGCTAACATTTTGTGGCCCGTTTCCAGAAACCACTCAGCCAGTTTGTGTTTTACTGTCCTCTTATGTCATTACAATACAATTTCTGTTTGTCAGGAACATGGAGCTTCATAAACTCGTGTGGTTCTTACAGACTATTATTTTTGTCATGTGAAGGCTGCAGCTTTTAAGCCTTCGCAGTCATTTACAAATGGCTAATGCATGCTATGTTTTTATTTTTTGTGTGGGTTTTCCAGGTGCAACATCGTGTGACGGGCCAGGTAATGGCTCTGAAGATGAACATCTCAGTCAGTAACAGAGCCAACATGCTCAGGGAGGTCCAGCTCATGAACAGGCTGTCACACCCCAACATACTCGGGTAAAAAAAATTTTTTATCTTTTGCATATTAAATGTAGGGGTGGGACTCGATTAAAAATGTATCTAGTTAATTAGAGGCTGTGTAATTAATTAATCTTGATTAATCACAGTATAATTGTTCAAGACTATTTGCAGCCAAGTATTTTTTTAATATAAAAAAATAATGTTGGTGAGGCACAGATGACATCCCCACACTTTAGTGATTTGGTCTTATTATAAGAGTAACCATTGTGGGATTTGTTGTGTAAATATTAATAAACGTGTTATTGATTCAATGTAAATTAACATGGAACATTGTAAGTGTTGTGCACTGAACTGAACACTGGTGGCAGCAGAGCACTGCTAAAATAGAGGTGTAGTGTAGAGTTCAGGGGAAGTTCTGCTGACATTTACAAGATGAATGCTGTGTGTGCTTGTCCCTCCTGCTGTAATAAACTTAGAAAGGGTAAAGGTACTGCCTGCCTGCTTTCTACCAACTAGCAAACATAAAAGAGTGATTTGTCATGATTCATTTAACTGTAGTTTTAGTTGTGTTTGCAGCATGTAAAAAAAGTTCTTCACATGGTCTTGTAGCCCAGGCTCTGCTGTCTTCTTAGAGGTGCAGCTTGATATTTTTTTATATATAGGGCATAAATATGATGCAAAATTTTTCTGGTCCCCAATTGGAGGACACTTGGGCTCATAGGGAAACACATTATTTTCTTCTAATTAATTAATTGTAATTAACTATTTAAATTCTGACCCCTAATTAAAACACAAAGATATGAAATTTGACCTGATCTATAATTGTAGCATTTTCTTAGAACTGGATTATGCCTTTTGATGTTAGTCTGTTTTTTTCTTTGTTTTTTTAATAGGTTTATAGGAGTGTGTGTCCATGAGGGACAACTCCACGCTCTCACAGAGGTAAAAACAGGAAGTTCTGAAAGCTAACATCTCCCTTCACATCATGTGCACACCGGCCTTGCATGATTGAAATGAATATTACAAAAACAAACACTTGAAAAATCATCTGTCAGACAAAAACAAATACAAGTCACCTGCTGAAACTATTAGTCTTTATGTCCTCTGGGAGAAATCGAAGCCTAAAGCATTTAGCATAATAAAGCCGAACCTTTACCAGTAAATAACATGACTTCAGGGATCTATAAATGTCAAATTAGAGTTACTTTAATAAAAATGGAACTGGTTTCTTTTATCAGCTTCTGACGTAACATGAGGGTCTGTATGATCATAATCAGCTTGAGATCAGGGAGTTCAAGTCACTTTTTCCTAATCTAATGGCGTGGTGTTGCCATGGTAACTCAGCAGCATCATGGTAAAACGATAATCAGGGGTAGAGAGGTTGCTCAGTTTCTCAGCAGATTCAAAAAAAGAGTGTTATAAAACAAGTTTCATCTCTCATCTTTGGTTTGTCGTTCAACCTTTTTACTGTTCAACTATTACGTTTAGAAAAGGCAACTTTCCAGCTTCCCATAATTAAGTAAACATTTCCATAATTTAATCTCAACTGTAGCAGCAACTGCTCAATGCTTTTAATTGGCATCTATTACTGATTTTAATCATTTCAATCACATTTCCGGGGGGGAATTAAAGTGGACAAAAGCTGTATTGTTGTTGTTATTAAGGTGCACATGAGAGGAATATTTGTCTAATAAACCTCAATATTGTTCAAATGATGCACGGATCAAGTCCTACATTCCCTTAATGCTATTTAAAAAAGCATTAATAATTAAATTCCAGCGGAAAACTATTAAAAATAACTTCCTCCTTTACTAATTTATTCACACACACCTTTTTGTTTCTCTGCTGCCGCTGCTTTACTGATGGTGATGACCCAGTACATTAACGGTGGTAACTTGGAGCAGTTGCTGAGCAGTGAATTGTACCTGTCGTGGAGCGTGCGGCTCAGCCTGGCTCTGGACATTGCGCGGGGACTGAAGTACCTGCACAGCAAGGGCATCTTCCACAGGGACCTCACCTCCAAGGTACAAACACACTCATCATTGCTCATTACTCAGTTACAGATTTGAAATGAAGCCAAACACAGTACATGCAGATGTTGCAATTATAGCTGTTTGAATTACATCTCGGAAGTAATGCATGTAAGATCTTCCTCCTACTGGTCGACAGCTGAATTACAACAGTCTTAAACTACCCTGCCACAGCCTGCTGTTGGCAGTACTGATAGAGTATTACAAAACGTACTATTACTTAACTAGTCCAGTCCGTGATGTTGAACCCTCCTTTAGCTCCTTCAAACGAGTGTAGACGTGCCGATGTTCCCTCTGGTTTTAGCTCTTAGCTCCAAAGACGTTACTCTCTTACTTTCACGTCCTGGCTCCACCATGATGCCAACAAAAAAGCTAAATTCTTCTTCTTGGGTTTTTTTACTGATAGTCGGCAAACTGAAGAAGCTAGCCTTTATATTAGCTTCTGGCAGAGTAAACAGCTGTTGCTGTAAATCAGGTAGAGACCTCCCACAAGTCCACACCACATCTGGGCGCAGATTCTGGTCAGCAGAGAGCTACAGAGTTCTGTCCAATGCGACGTTGCTCAAGAATCACCAAAACCAGTTTGGAAAACAGTATATTTAATGTTACTCTAATCAATAATTACTCATGCTGAGTTTCATTAAAAACAGTCTGGATGTTTCAGAGATATTTACTAGAACCACCTCTGATTATAAATATGTTTATACGTATATGTGTGCGACCTCTGACCCTGTGTGCAGAACTGCCTGGTGCGCTGGGACAGCGGCGTGTGTTCAGCCGTGGTGGGAGACTTTGGCCTTGCTGAGAAGATCCCAGATTACAGGTGGGTGTGTAAAAATCTATCAACATTCTGTGATTAGATAAGTCCGGCTCAGTAAATCACATTCCTTCACTTCTTTCTCGCGTCCCTCATGCCATATCTTTGTGTGCTTAGAAACATTTCACCCAACTTCTCTATTTTGGAGACATTGTGACGAGACTTACTCACTCTTTTTCCAAACTATGCAGGCACATGTTGGCTGCTGTCGGAAAATTGTGGCTAACCCCCCATTTGGTCCCTTTAGAACAATAATTAATGCTGTCAAAGTACTGTTTCAAAGGTGGGGAGAAGGGACAGATTAAACATTGACAGCACCTCTGAGTCATGCTGCTGAGCTCCTATGACCTCAACAAGCTGCTGCTGCTGTTTTCTCAGTTCCTCTTGTGTTTGCAGCTGTGTTTAATCTCATTTATGTGGCGCGCTTAATTTATAGCCAGTCTGCAGCATATGAATGGAAATAGAAGTTTCTTCAGTGACTTCATGGTTCCAGAAATGGCTGCTGAACGGATTTTGTACTTGGCTAAATAAATTACCACAATGTGGAAAATATGCTTCGTTAAAAAAAAAAAAAGTGAAGTGTTATTGAGGTAAGAAGCAACATGCAACTCACATTTTCACTGATAGTTCAGAGCATAAATAGTGCAATAACCGAAAAAAAAAAATTTTGTGGGTAAAAAAAAAACTAAAATTTTTACACAGAATTTGACTAAATGCAATACTTTTAATTCTGCATTCAAGCAAAAAAAGGTGCTCAAATACTTATTTGTTCTCCCACTTTATGTTAAAGGGACTCTAAGGAAGTTTGAAGTTTTTGTGCTCGCGATCGCCACTCAGGCCTAACGCGTAACTGCATCTTCAAAAGTAAGCTCGTGCATGAGGTGTGCATGCTGTACATGCACAATCCTTAACGAAAATAACAGCTGAGACAGTCCCGTGTGTGTGTGTGTGTGGGTGTGGGTGGGGCCCCAGAAGAACACGCAGCTAATTAATTAAATAATTTGGTTCTGTACCTTTCTCTTCAGCACAGCCGACAAAGGTTTATGATGGGTCAGTCGTCCTGCATGCTCAGATCATTCCCTTCCCTTGCTTGAAAAATTGATCCAAAATGAAAGTTGAACCCACATCTTTTTTTTATCTGTGAATTCAATGCCGTTCGGCAAGTCTCAAATAAAAATGTGTGCATCTTACTGTAAAAAAATATATAATGTAAAAAAACTTCAAATAACAAATTATGTTCACACCTGGCATCAAACCCAGGTCTTCAGCATGAAAGTCAGACCCCTTACTAAGTGAGCTAAAGCACCAGTGACATTCAACCTATCTGTAACGTTTATATCCTTGATGACAGCTGAAACGTCAATCCAAAGAACGGTTCGAAGCGAAAATGGCTATTTTGTTGCTAATTTGCAGGAAATATGTAAAAGAAAGTTCTACAGAAAGTATCTAAGGGTCCTCAGAAATGTAGCTAGGTTCATCACTAGGCGTTAGGAACAGCCACAAAGTCTCTGAATTGGCACTACCTCTCTCTCTGCTGCTAAATCTACGAATAGCAAATGCTACGGACGATGCCTGAGCGTGAACGCGCATGAAGCAGCTCTCTTTTTCTGTGATTTTACAGAAAAACAGGCAGTCACAGTAAATATGCCAGGGCTCATTCTACCAGGGCATTGCAGGAGAATGTATGAAGAAGAAATTTATTATTTCTATACATATTTTGGCTGTCAAACTTCCTTATAGTCCCTGTAAAGAGGTCCTTCACTGATAGTTCTAATACATTTGCAGTGGTCTCTACTAGTGGTTGTATCAACTAGTAGACATCACTGCTCTGTAGTGACTTTTTATGTCTTTCAATGACTAGTCGCTATCACGTGATAATGACCGAGGGCGCATCACCTGTTTTGTCCGCCAGTGACGCATGACATTGGTGCGGCCAGCGCGCAGCGCTCACTTCGCTGTTTTTGCAGTCAGTAGATCTTTTAGAACTGCAGTTCAAAGGTTATTATAAGGTGAATATATATATGAAGGCAGGTAGCAGTTTTTCTTTAGGATTGAGAGGAGATGCAGGAAGATAATAAACAGACAGGACAGAAAAATAGTCAAATAAAAACAAGTTAGTTTTTGTACCTGGTGGTTGCATCAAACAGTCACCATTGAAGGTAATCAGAAGTGAGGAACAGAAAGATCAGAAACTCTGAGAGGCTTCAGGCGCGTCAGTGAGTTTGCAGCCACTGCGCAGGGGGAGGGGGGAGAGGGCTGAAGCAGGATGCAGAAACTACCGTTGTTGGTAGTTGTGGGCGCAATTTTAACTGTCAAAAACTCCTGCGCCTGGTACTGCTGCACATGGGGTACAACCATTACCGGTTCCCAGAGTTTGACCCTTTCTGCTGGGGTGCTGATGAGCAGGCTCCCCCGCCCAACGCCAAGCAAAGCGACCCACCACCCACACCCCAGCCAGACGGCCAGATCTCCCTCCTAGCCTCCAGCCCCGGGAAGCCAAGCGACAACAGAGGTGTGCTAAGACCCCTGGTCTCCCTCCGCCTGCTCCAATACAGTGTTAGTGCGAGTTGATGAGGTGTATTCGTGGCTGTGGTGAGCGGGCAGTGCAGGCATCGCCTGGCCTACGCCAGCTGATGCCACCACACCACCCCTCTTCCCCCCACAGCCCCCTGTGACTACGTGCAGATTAAAATTGGACGTGGGCACCAGCACTTGGGATGAGGTTGAGAAATCCCCCTGCCAAATGCCATTGTGTGTGCTTACTCCCAAGGCCCTAAGTGTGTGTGTTTGCGTGGAATGTCGTTGGTGGAAGTGTTTAATGTGCAAATAAAATTGAATGTCGACTTAAAAAAAAAATTAAGCCATGCAGCCTCTAGTCTCTAGTAGGAATTAATGCCTTGTAAGTGGTACTTGGTGGGGACAAAAAAGCTCAGATGTGACTCTTTCAGCATGAAGAAGTCAGCTGGAGGAGAAGGTAGCTTCAGACAACAGGATGCCTCCTGGACGCCTCCCTGTGGAGGTGTTTCGGGCATGTCCTGCCGGCAGGAGGCCCTCGGGTCGATCCAGGACACGTTGGAGATGTTACATCTCCAATCTGGTCCGGGATCGCCTTGGGGTCCTGCCGGAGGAGCTGGTGGAGGTGGCCGGGGAGAGGACGGTCTGGAGCTCCCTAGTTAGGATGCTGCCCCCCGCGACCCGGACCGGGATAAGCGGAGGAAGACGATGACGAAATGTGAAAAAATATTTGCCATAGTGCACACTCTCACCCTTGTGCAAAACATCAAAGTGGGATGACTCAAAACTATGGTTTATTGTGGGTCTTAGGGCCTTGATATACTTGCAGTTTAACGACGCAAATGCGTCTTTAAAATGGCTGCCACACATTTCTTGCGTTGATTTTAAAGTATTGTTTGTGCGTGTCCCCCAAAATTAACGTGACTTGTCTGAATGCTGCAATATACGAGTAACCAGTAGGTGGAGTTAACAAAACGCGTGGGATGCACTCACCATGGTGAGTCTTGTTTCACACCATCTACGATGGCGCTGCTGTCCTATCTTCTGTCGTGATCTCAAAATTAACCAGTCAATGAGCTCTTTAATTGACGCCATGTTTGTTTTGGTTGTTCCCACAAACCCTGCTCTCTATCCAATCTGCGCTCTCTAGTGCATCCCCTAGTGGAACACGCCAGTACTACATGCAGTGCAGTGCCGTGTAGCAGCAAGTATGTGAACAAACACGCAGCCTGCTGCCTACGCCAAGTTAAACAGCAAGCCCTGCGTCTCCTCTCCTTCCGGTCAGTACGTGGGTCCCCGTAACAGATAAATGACGTAAAGTGAATGGGGCTATAAAAGCAATTTTCCAATCCACTTGGCTTGTAAAAATTCGTAAATAACATGACTACAAATCAGACGTAGGTCACCGCACCTAAACCCTAACCAGAATATCGACACATTTTGTCAATTTAACCCAGATAAATAGTTAACCAGAAAGCCATTTTTGGGTTAAGAAGTTGTGAAACTAACACCAGCTAGCTAGCTAAACCTAGCATAAAAATGGGAAATGGTAGTTTTCTAGCTTCTCAGGTTTTTGCCCAAAAACGGAAAAAAGACCCCTCCTTAAATACCTACCAAACAGTTTTATTTTAATTACACAAAAACAAAACTTATTGAGTGGTGCTAAATTTATTCCTGTAGAGTTTTTATTTGTATTTTTTGGCTTTAGCGTTGGCTTTAATTGTGAATTTTTTTTTCAGTGCTGAACACACGTGACACGCACTAGTCAACATCATATATATTTGTCTTGTACCACATAATTTTTAATCTGAAGCTACATATTAAGCATATTCAGGGCAGAGTATTGTTCCTGTTAGTGTTTAGTGTGACATGATAGTAAATATTCCCTTTCATTCTCCAACAACTTTACCTGATGGTAAGCTAACTTTAGGCAAACCAGCAGCACAACAAATATTTTCCAATAAGACTCACAAACCTGAGTCAACACCAGTCTCATCAAAGCTGGGGTTCTGTCGTTGTACTTTTGGTCTAAAAAACGCCCTTATGTCCATCTTCACTCATGCGTTTCAGGCAGACTGTAGAAGAAGCCGGCTGCTGAAGGGCTTCTTCTTCAGTGGTGGAGGCTCAGGCAGGCTGTATACAAACTACTGCCAGCTGCTCCCTCTCTGTTGGACTTTGGTACTGCATGTTACTTCCGCGATTTAGATCCGGGGCTTTTCATAAAACATTCGGGGCTTGAGCCCAAGTAGCCAGGCCTAACGCCGCCCCTGGTGCTGAATAATAAACAGTCCTGTAAAAGTGATGTGAGGTAAAATCAGTTTTTAAACTTTTACTTTTATCCCTTTGTAAGAATTAATTTAATTTAATGCTAAATTCCTGTCAGTTTTTTACTCATACAAACATTCACAGTGATTTTCTTGAGTAAGATTGAAAGTGTTGTGTAGAGGACATGACCACCAAAGACTAAATCTAGTGTTGTCACACAGAATGAA